ATTCAGTGCTATAAATAACACTTAATAGCAAGATTCCAGCCAGGGCCCACGAGTCACTTCCAGAAGCGGCAGATTCTGAAAGCTGATAAAACTGATTCACGCGCAATCCAATGCAGAGACACACCCTTCTAATTCCATGGAAATCAGTAGTGTAACTCTGCTTAGGTTTGTGCTGTGTTACTTATGTCACAGGTGCTCTCTTATATCTCTGTGAGTTGTATGGGTCATTTCATTGGAAAATGATACCAGATTATTCAAGTCTTTGGGAGAAAAGAAAATGAGACAAAGGTGTAATCTGGGATGAAATCTGGAAAGCAAAACTCTACATATCTTAGTTTTAGGGAAAATGTGTTCAAAACATGACACAGAAAGAACCTTTTCCCAAATAAGCTCAAATGGTGTTCAGGAACCAAAAACAGGCATTTACTGGAGTTTGGTGGATTTGCTCTCAAAAAAAAGTTTTGAGGTCATGACTCTTATATTGGAAAAAAAAAATCTCAGATTATAACCCACTGGACCCCAAATCCTTCTAAATTGCACGTATGTGTTCAGATCCCCTTGATTAGAATTCAGCTTATTTCACTGATTAGAGGAGGGTGCAAGTGATAAAATGAAATTGTCATCTATCCAAAAACAGGCTAGCTAAACCAAGACCTATTAAAGAAAGCAAGACAAAGCTGATACCAATATTTCAGGAAAAACAACTTCATAGAAAAACTGTATCCTTTATTATTATTCACTGAAAACTATCCATGTTTTAAACAAATAAATATATTTTTCATATGTTTCTCTATATGAAAAAAATATTTATTTCTAGACCAAAATCAATAACATAATAATTAAATACATAATTTGTGATTATTAAATTAAGACATTTAATTAATAATTAACGATATCATAATAATTAAAGACACAACCCGGAAAATCGACAGCAACTAATGAACTCTGGCTGTGAAAGCCTTTGACAACATAAAGACATCATTATTAAAACCTATGTATCACAGATATTTAGCTAGCATTTATTTGATGTTACTAATTTCCTGTTATCTCCTTCATTCACTTCTGTAGTTGCACTGTTTATTTGAAAACAAAATATGTCCACAGTTGGCCTTCAATCAATCTACATAAATCAACAAAAACAGCAGGTTTTTAACTGGAAAAAGTCCTTCTCATCTCTTTTACAGATTCTAGGATACTGAAACTGTACAAAAATAACTTAAGAATGTAAGAAAAACCCTGCTGAATCAGACCAGTAGACTCCCTAGTCCAACATTATGTTTCCCACACTAGGCAACCAGATGCTTCAGGAATCCCTACAAACTGGCCACAGAGGCCAAAACTTTACCTGCGGCTGACTCCAGGAATTGGAATTCAGGGGGTACAATATTTTGGAAGGCCAAGGTTGTGTTTAACAAAATTTTACTACCTTGCTGCTCACTTGATTCCAGATCATTAATGAACAAGTTAAAGAGCACTGATCCTAATATAGACTGTGCTGTTAAAACTCTTGATAGTGTTAAGATAGTGAAGGATAGTGAGAGAGGACTTGCCTTTACAGAAGCCATGCTGATTTTTTCTCAGTAGGGCTTGTTCTTCTATATGGTTAATGATTCTATTGTTCATAATGGTTTTCACCAACATACCCAGAACTGATTAGTTTTACTGGCTTGTAATTTTCTGGAGCCCTTTTTAAAAATCATCATTACATTTGTTTCATGTGAAAGGGAGGGATATTTTTGTTAAGAGAGCAACTAGTTTACATCTGAATTCCTTAAGAAGCCTCGACTGTATGCACCTATACCTGATGACTTGTTAGACTTTTATTTGTCCATTAGCCATAAAGTCTTTCACCACCTCTATTTTGACTCAGTTCTTTCAACACTCTTCTTGAAAATAGCTACTCCAGTGAGTACAACTGCCCCACATTTCCATGAGTTTCTTTGCAAACTCCCCATCTTCCTTCACTGCCTCTCTGGCCAATTTCCCGCTTCTGATTCATTTAAATAAATTTTTATTGTTTATTTAAATGTTATTAGTAATATGCTCCTCATAGTCTCCTTTTGCCTGCCTGGCATCCATTTAGCCAGAACCTGTGCTCTTTCTTGTTCCCTTTGTTTGGGCAAAACTTTTAGTATTAAAGGAAGCCTTCTTGTCTTCTTTGGCTTTGCTCATTAACCACACTGGCATCCTCTTAGACTTGCTGGTATGCTTCTTAATCTGTGATGTGCACTCTGTCTGAGCTTCCTTTATTGCAGATTTAGGTCCTTAGCAAGCATCCTGACATTCTGTTCTGAGTGTGTGCACTCACTCAGGGACATTCACATAAATGATGAACTAAATAACACTGTGATCACTGTCCCCAATAGATGCAACAGAACCTACATCTCACACTACGAAGCACTTTCAAAAGGAACAGATTGGCAGCTGAGTCTTGTCATTTCTCAGTTGACCACATGATGCCAGTAGAGCTACAGTTATGTTTTAGAAAAGCTTGACTATTAAGACAATAGAAGAAAACCTGGGACACCAACATTTCCCCCTCCTCCTTGCTAATAGCTCTAGACCTGTCTGGTTTCCTTGGGTCACTTATACCACCCAAACTCACCTTTTTTTTTGTCCATGTCTGCACAAGCATAGACAACCCAGGGAATGACTGTTTTTTTGGGAGTGGAACTTCACCTACATTAAAAAGGTAAAGGTTCCCTTGCTCGAAAGCCAGTCGAGTCCGACTCTAGGGTTGCGGTACTCATCTCCGTTTCAAAGCCGAAGAGCCAGTGCTGTCCGAAGACGTTTCCATGGTCATGTGGCCGGCATGACTAAACACCAAGGTGCACGGAACGCTGTTACCTTCCCACCGAAGTGGTACCTATTTATCTACTTGCAATTTCTTGCTTTCGAACTGCTAGGTTGGCAGGATCACCTACATTAGTTTTGTTTTAAAAAGTCTTTTTTTTCCTGCAAGCCTGAGAGTTTGTCTGAATTTGTAAAACCTACAGAATGTCCTGGCTGCTAGGATTATATGGATTTGTTTATGCGTGTGAGGACCAGTCCTCAGATTAATCTTATCTGAAGCCATGCAAAACAATCTTGGAGACAGGCCATTTTCCATATGCCACCAGAGAAAAAGGCCTGCATGATAGTGCCGTGTTTAAGGAACTCCATCCCTATAACAATTCATCTAGCATTTAGTCTGTATAGTATCTTTTATTTGGATTGTAACTTAAACAAACAAACTGGCCTCTTTCTCAGAAACCATGGATAGCCAAAAAGACTAATAAGTGGGTTCTAGATCAAATCAAGCCCAAATTCTCCCTAGAAGCTAAAATGATTCAACTGAGGTGATCGTACTTTTGGTCACATTATGAGAAGGCAAGACTCGGTGGAAAAGACAATAAGGCTAGGAAAAGTTGAAGGCAGCAGGAAAAGAGGAAGACCCAACACAAAATGGATTGATTCAATAAAGAAGCCACGGCCCTCAGTTTGTGAGACCTGAGGAAGGCTATTATCAGCAGGACATTCTGAAGGTCATTAATTCATAGGATTACCACCATAACTTGGAAACACATTGACGGCACTTAACACACGCACACACTTTTTCTAATGATTGGGCTCTGCCTCCCTTCTTTCAGTTGTTTGCAGCCTTTCATGATGTTTTCATGGTCTTTATGGATGGTGAAGTTTGCTCTGACTCCCAAAATTGCATATGCTGGAAGAAGTTTTTGTTAGTCTGTAAAGTGTCTCCTGCTGTATTCGCCCTCCACAACAGATGTACTGCTGTAATTGGAAGTGTATGGCACTAGCGTATTACATACAGCAGTGCTTTGAAGGTACAGAGGAAGTTATACTCTTTTTCTCTGGGCTGGCTCTCTGCAAGACTGAGTCCTGTGTGTGTAGTTCTCTGACGTGTTTTATTAAACCCAAGCATCATTTCAAATAATTTTATACAAATGCAGCTTTGAGGGCAGTAGAGGGTTAGTTAAAGGTAGTGGGAGGGGAGAGAAGAAAATTGAGAGAGGAAGGGAAATTGGCTTGCTCAGGCTCCAGAGAGATTATAGTATAGTTCTTTCTATTGTAGCCTGTCTGCACAGCAGCATTACTCCACCCCAGTGAAATAAGAGACGAGATAACCTTTTAGCAATGTGTCAAAATAGGATACAGTGGACAGAAGTCAAAGCATAATTCTCCCAGCAGAGGGAAATAATCAGTTGCCCCCCCCCCCAGAAGTCTGTGTTAGCTTAGGGCTGGTGTTATTTAGTTTTTTCATATCTTATCTGAGCAGCAAAGTGTCCAGTGGCCAAGTTCTCAAATTGCTGAGATGGTGAAAACTGAAGAAGACTGTAAGGAGCTCCAAGAGGAGTGTTACAGTGCAGCAAATGAAGCTCAGTGGGTATGTATGCAGTGACCAATTCCACACTGACATTTTTTGTCACTCGTTTGTCCCTATTTTTTTTCCCATGGGGGGGGGGACCCAAAGCAATAGGGAAAAAACGAGTGACAAAAACGTCAGTGCAGAGTGACCTGTTTTGAAAAATCCCTAGTTCCCATCTATACTGGTAGGATCTGGTGGGTGCAGAAATAGATAGTTAGATACTAGCATAAGTGGCTTCTAAAAAGCTTTAGAGAACACCATAGGGGGAGGATTTGTGTATCTCGGTGGCCTAATGGAACTTCCCTGTTGCTTCTGAATGCCAGTTGTTGAGGCGAAGGGGTGAGAGAGGCCACAACAACAAAGATAGGCTTTAGTTTGTAGCCTTTCCAGGGCATCTTTTTGGCTGTAATGGACAGCAGGACGCTGGACTTTGACCAACCTTGGCCTGATTCCGCCGGGCTCTTCTTGGGTTCTCACGACATGTTGTTGCGTGCAAGGTGTACCCGCTTGAAGACTCCCCCCAACGGCTGCTCCCGCTGCGCGTGCAATGCGCACGCGGTTCTTCGCGTGCCGGCGCTCCCTGACCAACACCCCCGCTTTTCTTTCAGTCTTTCGTTCTTGCCTGCTGCACCCGCCAGTCGCTTTTTTTTGGGTCCACTGCACTACAACTCCCAGAAGCACTTGCGGGTTCGCCTCCGCCGCGCGATGCATTCTGGAAATTGAGGTCCGGCGCAACGTTAACAACAGCCGCTGAAAGCTATTATGAAGAGGTGAGCCAAGCAGGGAGTCGCCTGCAGTTAGGGGTTGCTGTGTCTAAACGGGCAGTTTAATTTGCTGCATCAAGAATAGCGGTGGCTTCAAAGAGGGCTGCCTGGAGGAACCTCTGCTAGCCCCAGCCTCCTCCCGCAACCCTCGGAGGCTTTGCAGCTCGAGAGCCGCTGTTGATCCGACCCTACAGGTGTTTGACAGCCTCGCCTGCACCATCTCTTGTCAGAAGAGGTCGTGTACGTGTGTGCAACTCTGCATGGGCCTCTTCTTAACCTCGGCGCATGCCGTGAGTGCAGAGAGTGTGCCGTTGTACCTTATTGTTCGCATTGAGCAGCACTGCCGACAAGGCAATATGCGTGAAAAGCATCTCCTGGCACCAGTTAAGCAGGGTATTTTAACCCTGTTAGAATTTGGATAACACCTTGAAATATACCCCCGCCTGCCATAGGGACTTATAGCTGGATCAGAACCAAAGAGCTTGTAGCCTTCTGGATGCTCATAAAGGCAATTTGTGGAGAAGCTGTCAGGGGCCTAGTGCCTGCTGCCTGACCTGAGCCTCTCTTTGCTTGCATCTTGCAGAGTCAACAGCAGCAGCCTCAGTGGGGAGGATCTCCTCTTGGAAGATTTGGAGACGGAAGGAGAGAGGCAGCTCAAGAGCCTTCTACATCATCAGCTCAATACGTCTGCTTCTATCGAAGAGTGAGGACTGACCCTTTAAGCAAAGCAGTGCAGCAGGATGGGAGCAGGGTGGTGGTTGGTGGTGTTGCTAAAGGCAGGGCACCGTGTAGTAAGAATACGTGTGTGCTTTGAATCTTCTGAAGCTTATGTGCACCCCAGTGATTATGATGACAGCTGTGTACCCAAGTGCTTGTCTGAGCACTAATTTCTGACCTTGCAGAAGGTCCCTCTGCTAATGCTCTTTTGCATTGCAGGTGTGTGTCCAAGCGCCGGCGTTTTGCACCTGCAGCTGTGTACAAGCCCTTTGGTGAAGAAGCCGCAGGGACTCATAGCTTACCCCAGTTCCAGGCTCTGCAGGAGAGCAACAAGGAGATTGCCTCTCTTAGGGAGCTTGGCCTCTCAGAGTCGGAGATCCACCTCTGGAAGAACCATGCATCGGCAGGCAAGGTAGTGCAGAGGAAATCTCACACTCGGCATGGGGTTTCAGGCTAACTGTTTTTGTGGTTACTGGATTATCCCGTGCAGAATAGCTTATTTGCATACGTTAGTTTAATATTGGCCCTGGCCAGACGTGCTGGAAAATGTGTGTGTGTGTGGGAAGCGCTTGGCCTCTCAGAGTCGGAGATCCACCTCTGGAAGAACCATGCATCGGCAGGCAAGGTAGTGCAGAGGAAATCTCACACTCGGCATGGGGTTTCAGGCTAACTGTTTTTGTGGTTACTGGATTATCCCGTGCAGAATAGCTTATTTGCATACGTTAGTTTAATATTGGCCCTGGCCAGACGTGCTGGAAAACGCGCAGCTTCAGCGGCTTGCCACGGGAGTGCTACGCTTCCCAGATGTTCCCGTGTGATCGCGCCCGGATACTCCACAGGACTCCCGTGCCTTCAGCGGGGCAAATGCTCCGTGTGACCAGGGCCATTGTAGGCCTATTTAAGAGTTGACACTATTGCAAAGCTGGGGAGAGGAGACACAGGGCACGTGGTGGTTGGATATGTAGGTTTGTGAAGGGAGATACTTCTTCCAAGGATGGCCTCAGATCTTTGGCAGATGTTTCTGTTTCCCTTTGGCTTCCATGCACCACTTGTAGGTCTTCTGGGCATCTGGGTGGGACATGGGATACTGGACTAGATAGATCTTTGGTTTGATGTAGCACAGATGTTGCCATAATAAGGAGGCCTGGACCTGGAGGTTCTTAGGATACATGCATACGTATCAGATAGTTAAATGCACAGCTCATGTAGAATCAGATCTGAGCATCCTTAAAATGACCAAGCGAAAGACCATGTTGGGAAAGAAGACTGACATCCAGCCTTTTAGGGTTTCATTAGCTTTTGTAAAGGAGATGCTCAAACCCTGATATGATCTTTATAGTACTCAGTCAAAACAAATTAGTTGCAGGGCCTGGTCGATTCTAGTGGTGTGGACATTCTGCTTGTTCAGCAAAACCGTTCTGGTACAAGGTGGTGGCTGATCTCAGCCTGGGCAAACTTCCAGTAGTTTCATACTGTCTTGTGTCCAGTTACACATGTGTGATCCAGTTAACTTCATGTAGAAGAAGGATTCCAAATATAAATCAGGATTTCCGTTTCAAACCCGGAAGTGTTATTGCTGTGAGGGATGAAGTTGATTGAATGACTCTTTGGGGTGTGTGTGTGTGTTAATTTGTGAAACTCATGTGGCAAAGTAGGGAGGCTTTTAGTTTCAGGTAGCATAACCAGTTTGCTGGATAATTCAGAGTGATCAAACCATATTTTACAATTCAGGAAAAGAAAGGAGGATGTAAGAGTTGGGTAATAAATTTATTATCATTTTCAGACAGATGCAGTCTGTTGCTGTTATTGTCTTACCAGAGTTCTGGACTTGGGGCAGCCCCTGAAGCGATGTGGGACAGGATACAGGCTATCCAGGAGAAGATTGCAGAGTGCCAGCGCATTCTCTCCTTGCCACAGAGATTTGCAGGCAGCAAAGAGCTGAGCAGGCGTGAGATGGAAATAGAGAACGCTCTCTTCCAGGGCACTGACCGCCACTCATTCCTGAGGATGCTCTATCACCAAGGTACATTGTCCCCCGCTGCCCCTGTGCTGTCACGTCCCTGGGACAACACTTGGGAAAGCTCGAAGACAAACTGTTTTTGCTGTAGCCAAAGGCCATTGCAAGAAGAATAAAAGTTATTAATAAAATACAAAGATCTAATAATGAATTCGTGTTCTTAGGTTTCATAAGCAGGCTTCAGATAAAAGAATCAATAAGTATAATCCCCAATCCATACAGTAATATAAAAGTGAGATTTTTTTTCTTTAAAAGAATTTAAAATAATTACAGATAACTACTGCATCTGCAAACAATTGGCATAGATTTCCTTTGCTGTAATTGTAAAGAATACAGTTCATATTCATTTGACAGCAAATAGCCCATTACAAACAGCAGATTCACAAGGACTTGCAGGAGGCAACACATTTCCCCCTCCCTCTGTTTCATCTTTCCTTTCCCTGGCAGCCCCTATAGCCTCTCCCCTTTTTCAGGTTTTCCTCCTTCCCTCCATTGGCAGTCGCTCCCCAGCCTCTAGCCAAATTGTTGGAGCCAGCTGAGCAGGACTCAGTTGCATGGTGGTGATTGGGAACCTGCAGAGACTTGTGGGAGATACCTCACTTTCCCCTGTATCCCCTCCCCATACTATTTCCTCTTTTTCCCTCCTCCTGGATGCCCCCATATCCTAATCTTTCCTGCTTCCCTCTCTCCTTTCCACTCACCCACCAGTCTACCTTTCATTTGCTGCTCCATTTTCAGCTATATTTATTATTTATTTACTTCATTTATATCCTGCCTTTCTTCACAATGAGAACCCAAAGCAGCTTACATTGTTCTGCTGTCCTCTATTTTATCCTCACACAACCCTGAGGCTGAGGATGTGTGACTGGCACAAGTCACCCAGTGAGCTTCCACAGCAGAGTGGGGATTTGAACCTGGGTCTCTCGGATCCTAATCTGTAACTCTAATCACGGCATGACACCACACTGGTTTTTATGGGGGCATCTTCTGTCAAACAGTAGGAAGCAGCCAGGCCTGGGTGAGTCATGCAGATTGCATGGTAGCAAGTCACCCAGTGATAGGTGCTGGGTCTGGCCCCAATGAGAGCTCCTTCAAAGGCCAAAAGAGCCCTGAAAAAGGCTCTGGCCTCTACCCCTGCCTTTTCATGACAGAAACCAAGGCCTGAAGGCTGGCAACAGCCACTGTTGACATTAGTTTCTTAAAGCTACAGGTGCTGCTTTTATCAATTGGTTTTTTAAAAATCCTCCAATGTAGTTTCTCCTATTTCAGATTTGTCTGCAAATCTGGGGCTTTTCTCAGGTTTGTAGAAAGATCTGTCTTGTCTGTTCATGGCCAAGGCTCCAGATCTAAGTATCCACAGATAGAACACTGAGAATTAGAAGAAGAAGAGGGAGATTGGATTTATATCCCGCCCTTCACTACCCAAAGGTGTCTCAGAGCGGTTTACAAACTCCTTTCCCTTCCCCTCCCCACAACAGACACCCTGTGAGGTAGGTGGGGCTGAGAGAGCTCTGACAGAAACTGCTCTTTTTCAAGAACAGCTCTTATCAGAACTACGGTTTGCTCAAGGTCATCCAGCCAGGTGCAAGTGGAGGAGTGGGGAATCAAACCTGGTTCTCCCAGATTAGAGTCCACGCACTTAACCACTACACCAAACTGGCTCTTAGGTACACTGATGATATTCTGAAGTGCAATCCTAAACAGAGTTACATCATTCTAAATCTATTAAAGCCAATGGGCTTAGATGAACATAACTCTGTTTAGAACTGCACTGGGAAGAACCCATAAGACACCATGTTGGGGAATCATACCATAAAATAATAAAATCTTTGACACAGCCATTTGATAGATGCACAGTCTATCACCGGTAGTTCTGTGCCAATACTTGCCCACTTGGGAGGACAACTTGAGTTTTTTACCCCTTCTGGAAATTATTTAGTGGAAGGGCATCCCCTGACAATTACTTCTATGGTGCTTTTTGGTTATCTTTATGTCTCAGATGAAGTCAAGCAGAAAGCCACACACGAGAAGGACCCAATGGCTCACCTGGACACTGTTTATCAAGAAATACTCAGCCAAGGGCAGCCTGAATCGGTCCAGCCTTCCACAAGTGAACTGAGCCCCTCTTGCTCCGGGACCCCTAGCCCTTCTCCATTGGGGCAGGACTTGACCCCACAGTCTGTTTCAGGCCCTGTGAAGGTGACAGAGGTGGTGGAGTTTGTCCCAGAAGAGGAGATCCTAAAGAATCGTCTCTCAGAGGAAGAAATCCGCAAGATCCCCAGGTTTTCCTCCTATAACCCTGGCGAGCCGAACAAGGTGACTCCCTTCTTTTCCCTTGGCTGGGCTGTAGTACAGTTGTGTGAGTGCTTCCAGTGCTCAAGAATATCCCTCTGATAGCTCTTATTTCTTCCTGTTCCCATGTGGTGTTTCCTCTTGACACTGATAACCAATATGGAGAAGATCTAGTTTAATGTGTATTGACTGTGGATCCAGGGGATTGACAGACTTACGCCCTGACTGTTCGTTGATGTAGCGGGGCAGGATGTTGATGATGGTTCAGTCTGTCTGAAGCCTGGGCAAATATTTAATGATGAGCTTATGGGCACAACAAGAGTGTGGTATTTCGTTTTTTTCCATTGTCTTTGTGCGAGAAAATTTCCCTTAAATCTCATCTTGTAATTGGCAGGGATGAAATCTGCCTTATACTGGGACAGATCACTTACCCACCTATCTCAGCAGCCTTTGTGTGTGTGTAAAGTACTGTCAAGTTGCAGCTGATTTATGGCAACCCTGTAAGGTTTTTCAAGGCAAGAGATGTTTAGAGGTGGTTTCCCATTGCCTTCCTCTGCATAGTGTCTCTGGAATTCCTTGAGAATCTCCAATCTAAATACTAGCCAGGGGCAACCCTGCTTAGCTGCCAAGATCTGACAAGATCAGGCTAGCCTGGGCCGTCTAGGTCAGGGCGCAGCCTGTCTACTCAGCCCCAAAATAGCTGTCCATGACTCAGGCAGAGAAGTCTTTTCCCCTACCTTGCTATTTCTGCTGTACCTCAGAGCTCTGGACCCTCTTCTGTCCAGTTATCTTGCTTCCCAGTAACTGAGCCAAGGTATTGCAACTCTTCATCTCAGGTAATCATACACCATTCTTTGGATTCAGGTGAGTAGCCGTGTTGGTCTGAAGCAGCAGAACAAAGTTTGAGTCCAATGGCACTTTTAAGATCAAAAAAGTTTTATTCTAGGTATAAACGCACAGAAACTTATAAACCTAGAATAAAACTTTGTTGGTTTTCAAGGTGCCATTGGACTCAAACTTAGTTCTTTGAAATGTTTTCTTTTGGTACTTGTGAGCCTGTTTCCAGTGTGGGTTATGCAACCATGTGATTGTGGGTTGTGTGCTGTTGAAGGCCACTGATGATAGTCTGTGTCCTTGGATGTGGCCTAGGTATTGTATCTGAAGAACTTCAGCCCTCGTGTGACGGTGAAGCACCTGATGTCATTGTTTGCAAGGTTTCAGGAAAAGGATGGCCCAGAGATTAACTTCCGAATGCTGAGTGGGCGCATGAGAGGACAGGCCTTTCTCACATTTTCTAGTGAGTACCCAACCTGCAGGATCCTCCAGCATCATTTTGCAAAATACACTTACCTGTTGGCAAAACCCAGGAGGTTCCCCAGAACCTTGTTGTGCTGAGTGGGCTGGGAAGACCCCCAACTCATCTCTGCCCTTTTTGCCCTGAACTGTGAATGTCACCTCTGGTGGAATCCAAGTGCTGAGTTTGTCTTCCTCTCCGGTTTCAGGTGTCTCGACGGCTCAGGCTGCACTGAAACTGGTGAATGGGTTCAACCTGCTGGGGAAGCCACTTGTGATTGAGTTCGGGAGAAACAAAGTTGGCCAGCTTCATCCTGACGCAGAGTCTGCCCCGAGTTCTGGGAGCTCCGGCTCACTGCAGAGGGCAAGCAGCTCATAGGTGTCGTGCTGATTTACCAGGTCATGCTTCCTGAATCTTGAGCTGGGAGCAAAATGAACAATTAGTGTTGGATCCAGACAGAGACCACACTTTGGGGAGAGAACAGGAAGGAACCTTTTCCCTCCATGTGTAAAAAAGAGGAGGGAGGGAAGGTGAGAGAGACTGACTCTGGTGTGGGGCTGAGTGAGAAAAGCAGCTATTTTATGGTGTTTTAGTAGACCTTCTGTTTGCAAGAAGGAAGACTCTCATCTTAGAAACTGGGACGCAGACTCTTTTCCTTTGCAGCCAAAGCCTTGGAGGCAGCCTTCCACGAACCCATAAGTCCTTTTGGCCTCTGCTGTCAGGCCTTAGTAGGCGCTTCTGGCAGAGGCTTCTGCCAGCGATTGGAGCATGTGCTTGCGGGAATAAGCACAGTTACTCATCCTTGGCTGCTATTCTGTTTGCTTTTTGTCGGGGGGAAAAATAATGGAAGGTTTTTCATCTCAGTGTGTTGAGCAGTATTTTTTTTTAGACCACATTTCTTTCCTTTACAAAGCGAACACGACCATCTCTCTGCAGCCCCAGGAAATCTTCTAACACACTTTGTACAGTGAGGTGTCCATGCCCCTACATGGAGGGATGGGGCAGGGATCTTCAGTCACTTTCTCTCTACAGGAAAGGAACCGTTGCTGTGCTAGACTCTTTGACGACCCCTCGTGCACGGCAGACTGCCTTCCCGTTTTTAGAGATGGTTTTCATTTTGCCTCTTGTATGACCTTTGCTAATAGTCGTGTCAAGTGTTCTTCATTTAAGTGGAATGCAACCAAAATGCGACAGCCACACTTCCTTCCGTGACAGCCCCACATGTTCATTGAACACACAGGGAGGGAGGGGGGGAGCAAACGCATGAGACCAGCTGTCTGTCTGGAGGGGCGACCAACCCAGGGGTAGGAAGTGGCTGCGTGAAATCTCCCTCTCTGTGATGAGGGCCATCCTGGAAGGAGTGTCGCTGACCAAGGGGAGGGGCCATAGTCACAGCCACTTCCTCCGCATGGCTGTACCCAGTGCAAGACCAGTGCAGAGGCCAGGGCCAACACACTCAGTCCCACTCTTCTTCCCCGCACGTCCAGTAAACACACAGGGCTGTGCATGTACTGGGCTCATCTCAGTGCACAAGAAAATGTTCAGACCTGGGAGCAGCTTTGGCACACGTTCCCGATTGTTGCAGTAAAGTCACAAATGTTAACTTGCTCTGTTGACTCTTTATGGTGCAATCATTTCGGCTGATTAACTTTCTCCCACCTGGACCATTAAAACAATTTGAGAGGAGGAGGAGGTTGGCAGGTACATGTGCCTACTTGCTGATAGGCACATGAAAATTACCCAGGGAAATGTCATTCTCCTAGTGTTCTGGTTCACTCTGTGCTGAAGAATAGGTTTTTTTTTTTAATGAGAGTTCTTCTAAAGGTCTTAGTGCTTGACTCGTTCCTAAGCTGTTGTGAGCAGCCCTTTAAGTCATTGTGGAATTTCCCTAAGCAACAATTTGGGATTGCTGGAATTCACTGAGATTATTATCCTAAACAGGGCTGGCCTCCACCCCTGGCTAACCTGTGCTTATCCCTTAAGGGGAGCAGACCTGTTGCTAATGGAAGATGGAGCTTAGTGTATGAGAGGACTTCGCACCACAGGAGGGACTGTCTGGGAAGCCCTGGGAGCACATCCTGCTGAGAGAGGGACCAAGGCTTAAAGCCAGAAGAGGAGGAGGAAGAAGAGATTGGATTTATACCTCGCCCTTCAGTACCCGAAGGAGTCTCAGAGTGGTTTACAATCTCCATTCCCTTTCCCTCTCCACAACAGACACCCTGTGAGGTAGGAGGGGCTGAGAGAGCTCTGAAAGAAAGTGCTCATGAGAGAACAGCTCTTACCAGAACTATGGCTTGCCCAAGGTCATCCAGCCAGGTGCAAGTGGAGGAGTGGGGAATCAAACTCAGTTCTCCCAGATTAGAGTCTGCGTACTTAACCACTACACCAAACTGGCTCTCCTTCAGTGCTACCGTTTGGACATTTTGCTAGTCTGAGGCGATGACATCATTTGGAAGATCAGGTGTTTATTTTTTTACAAAATTTATACCCTGCCTTTCTGCCCTCATCAGGACCACCAAGGAGGCGAACAAATCAAAAGTAGATGTAATAAAATCGCTTCTTCAAAACCATTAAAACCAACACAAAGCACACCATGAAAACAATTAAAACTAGAGCTAAAATGCACACACATGAGAACAACAATTAAAACGTTGGGCAGGCAGGGGGGATCACTGAAGGAACCCTAAATGAAACTCTTCACCCACTGATGGAAGACAGAAACAGAAGGGGGTGGGCAAGTCTCTCTGGGGAGAGAGTTCCAGAGTTTTGGAGCCATGCTCGAGAAGGCCCTCTCCTGGGTTGCGACCTGCCTAATCTCAGGAGGGCGGGGACACTCAAAGCAGGATCTCTGAGGACGACTCAAGGTGTTTTCTGATGAGGAGGACACCTAGATTCCCTTGAGGAGCTGGGTGAGCAGCAGACCCCAATGAAGAATGGCCTGATGGGATTGCTGTTCTAGCATCTCTCCCCCCCCCCCCCACAAGACAAGCATGGTCTGGGTTAGGAGGAACAGGCCTCTCTTGCTGTGCTTTAGACCAGGACCCCTGCCTTAAACAGAAGTTTTCAGGAACGTTGGCAGGCAGTGAGGAGAGATTAGTAGCAAATCTGATTAAAGCAGGACATGGTAGATGTTTCCTCCACTTTACTTTTTTAATTCCGACAATTACGCTTTCTTCTGAGCCTTGGAGTGGGAACAGGAAGAGCTCTGATTAAGGGACTGCAGGGTTGTCTGGATGA